ATATATATATATATATATCTGTGTCAGAGTAAACTACTTGTACCTGATGATGACAAAACCTTGTCGAAACGTTGTACATTTGCTGTTATGTTAAACTTATATTAAAGTTTTTTTTTCATTACCCATTCAAGCTGTCTCCAAGCATTATTAATCTATTCCTTTCTTTAAAATAATTCCTGTAAACGGTTAGCCTCCACTACTGCGGACTGGTAACTCATTCCATAAAAAAAGAAAACTTTATAACTGAAGCCTAACTTCTCTTTTTAAATCTTAAATTTGTATAATTTCGTCTTCCAAAATATAACACAAAAAAATCAGAGGTCTTTATTTTATCAATTCCATGAAAAGTCTTATAAACTTTAATAAGATCACCTCTCACACATATTTTCTCAATAGAAAATACTTTACAATATCCTAAGTTGTCTCTATAAGTTAACCCTTTTATCACCAGAATCATCTAAGTGTGATATGTTTAACTAAACTAAATAACTACAGAGCTATATCAGACTTACAACGCTAGAATCCGGGTTTCGATACCCATGGCGGACAGAGCACAGATGACACATAGTGTTGCTTTATGCTTAACTTCAAGCAATATCAGATAAATCTGCCAAACAGGAGGTTCGATCAAGATAATGTATTACATAAAAATACTAAAATTCTACTGGTTGAGTTTAGTCTAACGAATAAATAGACAGGCCATAAAGTGTAAAAAATAATGAAAACAAACTTTCATTAGACTAAGATAAAAATACAAAGTGCATTTGCTTTATATTCGGCATTCGCTTCTTTGAGACGTTTCTACTAGCGGATCATCCATTAGACTAAGTGCAAACTGTCTGGCTTTGAAGAAACCTCATATCAACCCAATACGACATATGCTACTATTTCGATTATGAGGAACCCACTTTGAGACTAATAATGGTTTGAGACGGCTTGAATGGATAATGAAGAAAAGCTTTAATATAAGTTCAACATAACCTTGTCTAAACGTCGTGCATTTGCTGTTATGTTCAACTTATATTAAAGTTTTTCTTCATTACCCATTCAAGCCGTCTTCAACCATTATATACTACTATGTTATTGACCACTTTTTTTTCCAGATAGGTGGGACAGTAACCTCTAAATAATATATCTATACAGCCATTGAAGGACTCTGCTATCGACTTCATGACATACCGTCACTGTAAGCAATATTTTTCATATGACCAACTTCGAAAATAAAATGGGATCAAAGGTAACCTGTAACAAGATGATCAACTTAATACTTTTTTGACCACGTGTTATATGGAACCTGAACATATTCAGAGCAAAGTATAACTTCAAAATAAACACTAATACTACAAAAAAGAAAAAAATATATGGTATTGTTACGACAGCGGTAGTCACGTGACGCTGATAACACGTCATGATATTCTAGAAGATTCACGAAGAAACGAGATGTACACTTCTTATATATAAGACGGTGAAGAAGTGACGGCAACAATGTAATATGTGTAATTGAACTGCGGACAGTGAGAGTCGTATTGTTGAGCACGTGAGACGTTCGCTGTGAATTATAGCGTTTGTTATAGCGCAACTGTGGAAATTAAGTGTATTGCAAAGTTGTATTCAAAAAGAATAAACCAGTTTTATTTAAGAGAAGACTTGTATCGCTAACGTTTCCTCGGAAAGAATGTTTACGGAAAATTAACTAACGATCAGCGACGTAACAGTATATTCCTATATCACACTAGTAAGCCCTTCTCTGCATGAACACTTTGTAAAAAGTTAATATGCTCTTTTAGTTTGATTTGTTTTGGATTTCGCGCTAGCCGTCCTTAATTTAGCAGTGATAGACTAGAGGAAAGGGAGCTTCTCAATACCACCCACCGTCAGCTTTTGGGCCACTTTTGTCCCAACGAATAGTGACATTGACTGTCACATTATAATGCCTCTCGGCTGAAAGAGCGAGAATGGTAGGTGTAACGGAGATTTCAACCCCTGCAGATTGCGAGTCGAGTGCCTTAATCATCATGTCATGCTAAGCCCTATTCCCTTAAATGAAGGCCAAAAACTCTAATAAAAAATTTCAAGTGAGGCTTAACATGTGATTTGTATAGAAAGATAATTACACTTCTTGGCTTTTATTCAATGTGTATACATAAATACTGTATAGAATTATATTAGCTTTAATACTAGCTACAGAGCATTATTTTGATATCTTCAGTGACCTGTACCAAGATATTTTTCTTCAGTCACAGCATTGAGTGGGTTCTTGTCTATATCAAACATGTGATACAAATTATGATAACTCAATTGTACTTACTGTAATTAAAGGTTTATGTCAAATATATGTCCGACTTACCAATTAATGTAAGCCATTAAGATCTTTGATACAGCTTGAAATGCCCAAGAGTTTAATATCATCAGAAACTTTACTGATTAACTAATCATGTTACTATCAATGTCGTTAACGTAAATAAGAAAGAATAGACGTACAAGCAATGACACCTGAGGTACTCAACTAATAACAATGGTCCGGTTTGATTGGATTCCATTAATAACAACCTTTTGTTTAACCCAATCAATCTACACTACAATCCTACAATCTAGTTTCTCCAAATACCTAACAATGTAATGTCTTTACCCAATCTTTGGTGTGGCACTTTATCAAAAGTTTTTGAAAAATTAAATACAACAAGTCCATTTCCATCGTGCATATAAAAGTAACGTCACAGAAAAAAAACTTGGATTGTTTGTTTGAAGTTAAGCACAAAGCTACGCAATGGGCTATCTATGCTGCTCCCACTACGCGTATCGAAACTTTGGTTTATTCTTTCCGAATACAACTTTACGATACACTCAATTTGAACAGTTGCTCTATAACAACACCATAATTCACATCTCACGAGGCCAACAATATTTTGTCCGCATACATTCAATTACTCATTTAACTGTTCCCCCCCCCCGTCACGTTGTCAACGTCTTATATATACAAGCCTAACACAAATCTAATAGCCTCCCGATAATTCACGAAGGTTCGAGAGAAGGAGTG